AATAAAGTTACCACGATGGACCAGGAAGCTAGTGTGTAAGAGCTTCTTAATTTCATTTGCTCTTGGCTTTCCCCTTAATTTTGGTTTCAAGTGGTGAAACTAGCGGTTTATAAATTGTATCAGGCTACTTTTACCATGGCAGTGACAGCAGCAGCCTACAACTACCCCTCCTGCCTGCAAACTCCACAACCCCTTGGTATTCCCTCCTTCTTATATGTAGAAATACTTGTTGTGCACAGGCATAATATATCTCCACAAAAAACTTCCTTTTGGTTAACCAAACTTGCTTACAACAAGCGAACACACAAATGCAAATAAAATATTATCCACAATATTATGAAAAATATTATTCATACTATTTGAAATACTTTTATAGTGTTATAGTATGGGTAAAAATATATAAAGGACTTAATGTTTCCCGAATTATTTCAGTTTTTAACTTTCAAATATGTTAAGATCACAATGAAAAATAAATTCCCCTGCTAAGACTGTCTTTAAAGAATTTATTTGCCCTCTTGTCTTCCTTCTCTTACCTCCCTGGTATTAAGAAAAAATAAATGGATATTGTTTTTAATTAAGTAAAAAAAACTAAGAAGCTTAATCTCCAAGACTGGAAATATTACCAAATACTTAGCATATATTGCTAATCTTGTTAGCACGGTATTTGCACATACATATGGAGGAATGAATGCAAGCTGCAGCATATTTAAGTCATGAGATGGTATAAACAATTCAGAGGCTGATATCACAATCTTCCCTCCTTTGCAAGAGTAAAACGGATATAAAATAATACATCAGAGCTGACAGCGATTCTCGGATGACATCGAGGAAAGTAGAACTATAAAGCCTCTGACAGTTAGACACGTCACATTACATTAATTCCTAGAGAAGTGGATCTGGCATAATACTGTACTTCATAAACGCTGAGAAAAGTCAGTTTTAAAATGATCTTGCTCCACTGTCCTGATTTAGCCTTCAAATACCCTGGTAATTGCCCGTATATATCTCAGGTGTATCATGTCAGTGCTCAGTGAAGATACCAACTTGTTCATTTTTCATAATATAAAAAGGGAGGATCCCTAAGGTGGATAACCATGCACTGAGAAATGAAACATGATCTTATCTTTTTTTAAATAAAATGTAAAGTGACTCCATAGCCTCAAAAAATAGGAATATTCTCTACATCTCCAGCTTGATCTGTTAAAGCCAGGTTCTCTTTTGCAAAAAGAAGAAAACGCCATACCTGTAATTGGGGCAAAACTTAAGATACCTTGATCACAAAAACTACTTTTATCTGCCTTTTTAATTGTGGTACGTATAAAGTATTAGCATTACTCTCATGCTACCTCCTCCAGTTTTAAGCAGGTACCTACCTCCCGCTCCGGGGTCAGAGCACCCTTTCCCCAGGAGTTTGCTTGCAGGGACCATGGAGATGACACACCGGCTCACAGCAGCGTTTGGTCTGTGCCTTAGTGCTCGGTGCTTCCAACAGCCCATTTTCCCCCTTTCCCAAGGGCACAGGAAACTCTGCCGGGCTGCAGCGCAGAGCCACTCCACAACACACGGGCTCCTCCTTTACAGTAACAGCAAAGCTTTGTTTTCACTGACACTTGACTCTCAGCTCATCTGGTACCGCTGCTCTCAGGAGTCAGAGCGAGCGGGAGGATGTATGGAGATATGCAGGACTGCTTGGAAGGGAGCACTTCTGATACATCCTCACCCTGTACTTTACACTGCTACAGAAATGCTCAAGAGAGACAGTATAAAAAGCAACACAGAGAGAGCTCAGCTTATTCCTCGGTAGCATGAAGCCCTCTTGCCACAGACAGGACCCCAGTGCTCGGGCATCCCCGCCGCTCCGCGGGCGATGGAGGAAGCGCGTGAGAGGCTCTACATTAATGCCTGAAAACAGGGCTCGGTCACTCTCAAACTGTGTCTGATCACTTGCAGTAACTCGCGAGGTTCCCAAGCAGCTGGCTCACCAAAAGAAGGGCCAGGGGGCACGTTACCAGCCGCCCCGGTGCCGGTGCTGGCCCTACCAGCAGCCGGCAGACGCAGGTTTCACAGCTCCTCTCCATTTCCCACCTCAGCACGCAGGGCCAGAGCGTGAGGGTGACACATCCGAGCAAGGACGTGGTTTGCTCCAGGCCAGTGCCCTGTCAGGGACAAATTCCTCCCCAGTATCACATTGCACATTGGCAAGACACTTGCTGCAGTTCAGGGAATAATTCTGATAAAGCCATGCTGGGAACTGACTCATGTGCTATTCTGAGATCTCACTGCTTTATGCAGACAAACAATTTTCTGCATATTGAAACAGCAAGTCCTATAAACCTGAAAACATTATCAAGGAAAGCACTTATACAAAGGGTCAGTGTCGATCTATCAAGCTCTAATAAAATACCTGGGCTAGAAACAAAGGTGCTTTTACTCTTTACTGTCATCACGCTTAATACATTAAGTTCTGTAACACATAAAATTAAACCTAATTCAATTTAAATGTCTAATAAATTGTTTTAAATTGGCTTATCAACTAAAGTAACAAGAAAGCAATCAATATGAAAACAGAAATGATGGAGGAACCATGAAAACCATCTGAATGATTAATTTAAAACGCACACTAGAGTACCATTACTTACGAAATTCAGTTCCAAAATAAGCCTGTGCTGTCAGGAATTTTCTGAAATTGAGGGGTAGGGGTAACATAAGAAAAAAATATCTTAACACTCATAGAGAAATAGTTCAAGGAAGCATTTGTGTTGCAAATGAACTAACATTATATATGCCTCAAAATCCAGTTGCAAACACTTTTTTTTTCCTTAGGAATAAGTTGCATTCTCTCTATTACCATCAATCAAGTTCAATAAATTGAAGTACATCATCCTAGCTAGTGCTCTTTTTCATTAACAAAATATATTTGCTTTTCACAATAACCAGAAGTGTTGTATTTTGTTAGATAAGTATTATAAATACTATAAATGCAAAATGCTATATTAGTACATGTGTTATGTCCTCTGCTATTGACCAGTAAATGCAGAATGTCATTTTTACAGTAAGCAAAACACAAAATGTCACTTTTACAGTAAGGCATCACAACTGAAACAAACTGCTTTGGGGCATTCACGTGTAAATGAAAAGTGACCTTGATTCTTACTCATCACTGTGATACTCAGCATCAAGCTCTACAGTCAACTTACAGCATCTGAAACCCAAATTGCAACACCTTTAGACCTTTTTAAAAAATAATATACTGTAAATACTGTAATGTTATCATCACTCAAATAATAGTAAGGCCAAACAATATAGGACAACATTGAGAATGGTAATTCCTTAATAGGGTAGCCTCAACAGTTTTGAAAACTTAAGCTTTTGCATATCCATAAGGAAGCACCACCACTTGACTTCACCAATGCTAATCCTTAAGAAAATTGCACTGATTTAAAAAGACACTTCTCTTCCTTAGATAAGAGTCATGGAAAAAAAAAATTCAAAACATCACCTGGTGATTAAGCAGACACCAGCAGAAATTCATCTGAAAATAAGCAAGCTGGGAACAAACAAGAAACCGACCTTGTAAATTAATTTCAAGCCCAGATGAAAAGATAGACTATCACAGGGATTTCAGAAAACTTTGTTCCTAGAAAACACCAAAGTCTGATGGACAGACTATAGCTTGATACACTTGAAGGAAATAAATAGAATAACTTGGAAATCCTCATCATTTATGGGGGAGAAAACAAAGGAGAACATGGGAGCGAAGATTAGGAGTGTGCTTGACTCTATCCTGGAGTCACAAGTTACTTTTCCAAAGTTGCTTTGCTTGAAGCCAGGTGTGTAGGGGGTAGCTCTTAACAGTGTGTGGTGGTTTTCCCTGATTACTTCCCTGCTCTTTTTCCCTTGTCCTTTCCTTAGGACAGCTTGGATTCCTGAGCTGACATCTTCTTCAAGTGCCACAAAAACAAACAAACCATCCCTTCATTTTTACACAAAATACTACAAAGTAATTTTTAAAAAAAACTAATTATGAAAAATGTCACTATCTCAACCTTTTCTCTCAGCCCTAACACAGATTGCTCTAGTAGCAGCGAGCTGTTAGAAAAAAAGAAATTACCAGGCTTCAGAGTCACAAGGTGGTTACCTAGGTACAAGCCAACTAAACTGATCAAGAAACTGCCCAAGTCTGCATTTCTT